TAAAGAAAGGAAACAAACAAACCCACAGAAGCACCTACAGAAATGCTATTGCTTATAAGGCCATATAAGGCAAACTCGGAAACCTTGTAGCCAATGTACTGACTTCAAATGAATAAAGTAAAATTTGTCTTCAAAACAATCAATTGAATAAAATAAGTATCTAAAGAATTACCATTTCAGAGAGGACAGTTATTTCTTCCAACAATCCTGACTTAAAAAAAAAGCAGTTATTTTGCTGTATTTCCTGGAATCTATTAAATCTTTGGTGTAGTAGAAGGTATATACTGATTTATCTTATTCCACATTTTTTTCACAAATATACCAAATTCCAAATCCAGAATTGAGGCGTTGTAAATACTCAAGGGTAGACTGTTTGACCCTAAGGGACATCAGTATAGTTTTAACGCTCATCACTTAGTCTTTGTACTTACAAACAGTTGGTGGGGATTGAGTTGTCACAAAGAAGTGATAATCAGAAAAAAAAAAAAAAAAAGCTGCTTAAATGTATTTTGTAAAGTAGAAGAGAAAAGAATACTTCTTTTAACATGACACAGAAAAAGGCCAGGTCGCTGCCTTGCATCTGTATCCATTACACCAATAAATAAATAAATAAATAAATAAATAAATAAATAAATAAAGCTTGCATGATTTTTAGCATAAGAGATTAAATGTCTTTAGAGAGCAACTAGCCTCCTTTTAGCTACAAGGGCCTGAAGTAACTTGCCAACACAAAGCATCTGCCACACAATGCAAGTATCACAGATCTGCTTCTTAAAATAAACAATATACAGTTGGTGAAGCCATGATTTATGTTGTTTAAACACACACACACACACACAAAAAAAAAAAAAAAAAAAAGCCAAGCCAGCTGGTTGCACTTCACCAGCTTAGAGCAAGTCCATGCTCCAGTACGTGTAAGCCTTAAGCAGGGGCCCGGGTTTAAGCCATACAGTGACACCTCGAACCGGCGCTGCTCTCCCTTACTGAGGAAGCATCAAATATTCATAAGCACCGCTAATTTCCCAGAAACAAAGGAGAGACCCATTAGCTCCGAGGCAGAGACGAGCGCGCTGCTCGGGCGCTGCTCGAGGCCCCGTTTTCGGGCCGTGACCGTGACGGCGTTTGGGCGCGCGCCTTCCAGGGCCGGCCTGGAGCCCTGCGCGAGCCCTAGCCCGTGTGGCTGCCTGGGGAAGGGGCGTGCGGAGCCCAGCACAGCTACACCCCGCGCTCCGTACCCCGCCGGCCCGAGCGGCGCGGGCCGAGGAGCCCTTTGAGCGGCGCCCTTTGAGCGGCGCCCAGGCAGGGCGGAACGGGAAGGGGAACGGGAACGGGAAGAGGCCCGGCCCGCCCCGCGCGTCCCCCCGTGCCCTTGGCGGAGGCGCCCGCCCCAGCGCAGGCCCCGCCGGGGAGGGCAGGGGAGAGACGCGGCGGCTCCTCCGCCGCCCGGCGCGGCCCGGCGCGGCCGCCTCACCTGCGTGCCCACCACGACGATCTGCGGCAGCTGGATGATGTCGGCGCCCACCGTGTTGAACACGTCCTGCAGCTTGTTGATGACGGGGATGAGCGCCTCCATGGCGGCGAGCGGCGCCGGGCCGCAGCGGGCGCCCGCGATGAATGAGCGCCGCGGGCCGGGGGCGACGGGCGAGGCCTCCCGTCAGCCGCCGCCTCCGCCTGCCGCCATTGGCGCCGGCCCCCGCGCACGCCCGGCAGGCAGCGCGCGCCGCGCGGCACCGCGGGAGCTGTAGTGCGCGGCCGTTACGACCGTTACGGGGCGGCCAGCGGGGAGGGAAAGGCCGCGAGGAGCAAGGGAAGGCGCAGCCTTCGCCTCGGCTGCTTCCCAAGCCGTGTGGCAGCTGTGGCGCCTCCAGCTGCTTTTGGTTCCGCCTCAGTGTAACACGCAGCCCAAGAAGCTGTCTGCCTGCCAGCAGCGTTTTGATAACCTGTCAGTGCAGGTGACACAGCTGCATCCATATACCACCACATACGGATAAGGGTGCACTTGCAAATGTCTACTCTGTGCGCCCATAGCACCAAACCCCTCTTAATATTCCAACTCAGGAGGATGTTTGGAAGGTCTCCAGATAGGAGGCTTTACTCCTGTCTCATTATCTCATGCCTAGCTCTGTCGAGATCTAAGAGCAATCATCATTTATCCTATGTACGTCTTCGTTGATGGTTCTGCTTTAGGTGCCAGTCTTTCACCCAGTCTCATCACCTTGAATTTCCCAGTTCAGGTGCAGAATAGCAGAGTTGGATGATGTTTTTGGTGTGGCTTGCGGAAAACCGAAATCTAGTATTCATCTCTATCCTAGAAAATAACATAGACTGACATCTGAGAATGACTTGTGATGCAAGATCTTTAAATGTGATGTCTGATCTGTAAACATCTTTCTCTTGAATGTGTTCTCTCAAAATTAACTTCTAAATATGTAGATGTACTGACCTGAATTCTGACTGTGCCCCTTCCTCTTAGCCAACTGAATACAAATGCTTCTGAAAATTTTAAGTTCTGGATGACATAAGACTTTACATTCTTATTCAGTTCAAATTCAGGCAAGTCTTTTCCGCTATTCATTTCTTGAAATTATCAAGCAACAAAGAGGAGAACATACAAGGCGAATATGTCCTTGCCTATGTGTCCTTTCAACACAGCTTATCACCCAAAGCCAATAAATTTCACATTTCTTCTTAGAGAACTGATACTCCATTGGCAAGAACATTAAGGATGGTTAAGCAAACAAATGGTCAGAAATGACTGTATGCAGAGCAGAGAGTTGGAAAAAGAAGTGAAGAGACACCTAAATAACTTGTTGACAAGGAAGAAAGTAGGAAGAGCTCTTATCATAGTGACACAGCACTCTTCCAATGATTTTCCAGTGGTTTCACCCATTAGCCTTCTGTGAAAGCTGAGAAGTGCTGAACATGACTGGTCTAAAAGACATTAAGATCAGTAGCACCAGGGTGCCTTTCAGGATCTGCCACTCCTGCTTCCTGGAGAAGGTTCCTGGTGAACATTTCCTGTGTTGTATACACTTTCTAAAGGATTTGCAGTTCCCTGATTTGAGGTCTGTCATGGAACCCTACCTCATCTCCTCCTCAAGATCCTGAAAGGAGAAAGGAGGGGAAAAAAAAAAAAGACAAGACAGTGGAAGCTGCTGGCATCTGAGGTGGATAGATGACAAACATTATGCTGCTGTCTTTTCTCCTACTGCTTTCATTTTGCCACATGACATAAGGGATGCCACTGTGAAATATGAAACAGCCTGTTTCATATATTAATCTAGTCTAAAAGTGGGACATCTCAGAAAAGGATTCAGAATTGGGAAGGGTTTGGAGGAGGACAACAAGAATGATGAAGGGCGTGAAACTGCTTCAATATGAGTAACTGCTAAGCAAGCTGGGAGTCATCGCTCTGCAAAAGAAGGGGGCGGAAGGACTTAAGGTCCTATATAATCACTAGTAGGCTGGAGTGGGTGGAAAGGACCAGGTTATTTAATCTCCCTTCCAATACAAGAATGATGGAAGCATCTAATGAAACAAGGTGCCAGGTCAGAACGGATCAACAACCCCACTCTCATGGGTGGGTTGTTAAGCCGCTGAAGTCCTTGCCAAAGGACATGGCAAGGACTTGGCAAAACTTGTTCAAACTGAACAAGTTTAAGGAAAACAAATGCATTGCACAAACAAATACCTAGGTAGGAATTTCATCTAATTCTGGAAGTATCTAAGCTGACAATGTTTGGAGGTGGAGAAAATATCAAGCAGAAATATTATGTATGCTTGCCCCTTACTCTGTCCCAGTAGCCACTCTTGAAATTTCATCAGTATTATATTTCAAGAGGCACAGAAGCACAATTCAAATGGAGTTTAAACACTGTACATTTTTGGCTAGAAAGTATGAGCTGGAAATACCTTTGCTATGAAGCATCATGTCGTTTATCAACTTACGAAATGCAACACTCTCCTTATGCCAATTAGAGTACTGTGTCAAAGTAATAATTATTTTAAAAAGCAAGTATCATCTGTAGCTTTAACTGTCTATTTTCTGAGCAAGAAACTCAGTAATGTGATAAAAATAGTAGTCAGGCTGATTATTTACTAAAACCAATTGACATAATAGGAAAACAGCTGATGCAGGGAATCAGATCTGATACCAGCCTGTCTCAGAATCTTGTCTCTAAGGACATCCAGCACCAAAGCTCCAGGGAAAACGTAAAAAATCAGTAACTAGATCCCCTGATCCCACTACTTTTTTGATTTTGCCAAGAGCTCTGAGGTATACAGCTCAATATTCTTTCATTTTATCAGCATTACTTGAAACTAGATTGTTTAGATACCATATAATAGTTTTGCATTCACCAAGCTAAATTCTTGACTGTAATGACTTCCTGTGCTAACGATTTTCATGATCTAATTATATGCACAGTGCAACAAAGTAACTTAATGTCAGTCTTGAATTAGTCATCTTTTAATTTCATTTTATCCCTCCTACGTAGGAAAACAAAGTTAGAAGTCAGAAGAACAAAATTTCCAGTCTTTCTGCTGCATGGTATGAATTTGGTCGTACAGTTTTGCATCATCTTCATCATTTACTTAGATGGCTGTCGTCTCTTATATTGACACACAAATCATAGGTAAGTCCCTTGCAATACAATGAATTCATTTCAGAAAATGAGACCACAAGCCGCCTATTCAAAAAGGTTACTTTTGTGCCATCATACTCATCTAGAAAAATGTTTGACCAGCACACTCCATTTATTTCAAATATTTAACAAACATAACATTTGTACTGTAAACAAGTCACACTTGTTTATACTGCACAAAAAGTACTGGCAAATTATTTCTGTAAATTTTTCCTTGCTAATGTCACATTTTGGAAACACATTAACACTGATATTACATGGGTCTGGCAGAGCCTGATTTTTATGTTAAGCTAAATCGAGTGGTGTTTTTGTATCCCCTACAGCAACATCATCACAGATGCAAGTGCAACTCTCTCTCTGTGCACATCTATCAGACATCGGCACAGCAAACATCATTAGAAGCCGAGATAAATAATTCTTCAAATCCCTTAACAGAATGACCATTAGTTTGGATATTCGACATGGATTCTCCAAGCTGCCAGTTTCTAAACCTTGGCCTTACTCCAGGAGAGACAGATATCAGAGGTTCCAGCCCACACTCTGGGAGTCCTGCTAACTTGCAGGGCAAGCCCTCCTGCAGGTAGCAGCTGGCAGGCACAAGGTCCCACTGCTGATGGTAATCCTGGCTTATGAGTTCCCTGGACTCTTGCAGGTCCCAGGCCCGCTCTCTGACCAGACAAACTCTTGCTGGAGCAGGGATTTAACTTTGCTTGACTAATTGTAGTTCTAAACTATTAGGGGGTCCTTACATTTTCTCATGGTATCCACTGGGAAGTTAGCCAGTTAAATTAATGAAATGTTTGGGATGTCAGCCTCTTATAGAGCATGTATGCAGAACTGAAGGCGGCTTGCAGGTTAATGAAGGGGCAGGGTACAGAAGGTAACAGCTGCAGGGCAAACAGAGCCTTCCAAGTTCATCAATCAGTAACATGGCCAGAGCCTTCTGGAAGGCATTTGTAAGACACAAGCAATTCCAGTAAGGCCAACAGAGGTAAGAGTTCTCCCTGGGGACGAAAATAATCTCTGCATCAGTCTGTACTTTTGTACAGCAATCCCCATCCCCTCCCCTTTCCCTCATTTAGGGTGCTCAGACATGTAGGAATAGTGGAGAGTAATTACAGTTGCTTCAGTGTCTGATTTTCGCACTTCCAGTAGTAACAGAGCAGCTGGATGCATCTCAGCTGCGTGGTTCCCTTCCTCTCCAGGGAAGGAGCATTACCAAGAGGATCTGAATCAGCCTGGGCTTTGACTGGTCACAGAAAGTGAAGCGTAGTCATTAGTCCATCCCCTCTTAACTCCTAAGCAACAGATTTCTGTTTTCCTTATGCATTTTGGTGATCTCACGAAGAACATACCCAGGCACATTATAGGACATTACAGGATTGCTCGTTAGGAGTGATGATTTGATTGTCTTACCTACCATGCTGTGGTTAGCCTCGTGAAGCATATGGACATACAGAAAACATATGGAAGCATATGAAGCATATGGAAATGTATGGACTTTTCATATGACACTAAACTGTAAGATGCATGTCAGCCACTAAGGAGAATCCAGTTAATGAGACCAGTCCCAAACACAACACAGGTGGGGTAGGCCTTTCGCAGATGCTTGTTTCCTAAAACCTCGAATTACATGATTTACTTTTATGCCACTTCAGAACTGCAGAACAGGTTAAGTTTGTAGTTATACATAGGCATATGTACATACATACACACATATAGCCAATAGCTCTGAATGGAATTAGACTGAAAGATTAAACTGAAATCTTATCTTTTGCATCCTGTGCGATTTAACTCAGAGAGTGAGAAAGCTCCTCCATTCACTAGGAATCAGAGTCCAGAACCATTTTCTTGAACCAAGAACCCATATCTTGAGTTGGGCATATTATTTTGAAACATACCAAGAAGAAACCACAAACATATAGCCCTAGTTTAGGGATCAGAGAGACAAATTTGATACCTAGACCCAAGACGGAGTTTGTATCTATATGCCCCACAGGGAAGAGCATGCTGAGACTACCCAATTTTAAGATAAGATTAGGAGGAGGCCAGAAGAGGC